CTGATACCAGGATTCCATGCTAGTTAGTTAGTCTGACCAGCGATACCAGTTAGTTCATGTACCAGTGAGATACCAGTCAGTTAGTTAGTCTGATACCAGGATACCAGTTAGTCTGATACCAGGATACCAGGCTAGTTAGTTAGTCTGACCAGCAATACCAGTTAGTTAGTTCATGTACCAGTGATCATTGATCCTGTTAACAGAATAAGTCAGGATTTGTTGAGCCTGCCTCGTGGTTCAGCTCTCAGGTCAGGCGGTCGACACCGATCACTTGGTGTTTGTGTTTTTCAGAGCGGGCGAAGACGTTCTGGGCCGAGGAGGATGTGGATCAGGTGTTTGAAGGTGTCTATGTGTACCTGGATCATCTGAAGAGGGTCCTGAAGGCCCACACGGCGACAGACAAAGGTTTAGCTCCGCCTCCGTCCAGGTTTTAGCGGCATAGTGTTTCCATGGTGACGCTGGTGTTGTTTTATCAGAGTATGTCCAGGCGCTGAGGCTGCTGGAGTGTCTGGATTGTTCGTCCTCGGTGTGTCCGGCGGACCAGGACCCTTCGGTGGTCCAGGTGGTCATCGGCTCAGGTAAGTTCCGTCTGAAGTGGCGGTGGCAGTGGGCGAGCAACAGTTTCACTGTGTTCTCGTCTGCAGATGAGCTTCTGCCGACTGAGTTCTCCCATTGCAGCCCGACCGCTGATGGAACCGGCAGCTCTTCAGCACCTCCTGCAGGCCGGGAGGAGCTGCTGCCACCACTGCTGCCGGTGCAGCTGCAGTATCAGCTGCACACCTGCTGCAAGGTGAGTTCCCATCCTCTATTGTCATAGCAACACTCCTTCAGTGAATCACGGAGCATGTTTCCCTCCAGGCCTGCCTGCCCAGTTTACCCAGCATGCCTCAGTCCATGCCTCCGTTCTGGGGTCAGAACCCGCTGAAGGTTCCGCTGCTCTGCGGTTTTAAGAGGCTGAGCGCCGTGCCGCTGATGTCGCTGCCTGGAGGGGGCGGGGCCTGTGAGGACGAGGGCGTTGCCTACGACTGGGATGTCATCTACAAAGCACCGTGTGGGCGGAGCCTCCGTAACCATGACGATGTCATGCGTTTCCTGCTGGCAACGGAGAGCTACGATGTCTTGCAGGTCAGCTGTAAAGTACTCTGTTACTGCGGTGAAGGTACTCGAGTACATCAAACCGTCCAGGACCAGAGTACACACACTCTCACACGCTTGTAAATGTTTTTCTGTTTCTCCTTGTCGTCAGTGCTGATGGTTTCATGATGACGTCACTCGTGTTGGTTCTGACTTTAGTCACCTTGTGGATGTTTTCTTGCCTTGACTCGAGGCCCGGCTGTTTCACGTCTTCTGCTCGCTGCAGGTCGACTTCTTCACCTTCAGCGCCGCCGTCCGGTTGGACCCTCCTCCGACGGCGGGCCCTCGGCGCCCGGAGCAGGACCTGAGCCGGGGGGCGGAGCCGACGCCGGTGGAGCTCTGCATCGGAGACGGCGGTGTCCGCCCGGCCGACTTCCGGTACCGGAAGGACCGCTGGCCACATGGCTGCTTTCTGAGCCGCAGCCCGGCACTGTTCGACGCCTGCTGCGACTGTCTGGACGGCTGCAGCAACGCCCGCAGCTGCGCCTGCGTCGCCATGACCAGTGGGGGGCGCCGCTACAGCCACCACAGGCTGCTGGAGCCGGTTCTGACGGGGTGAGGACCAGGTTCAGGGTGTTCATGATCTGATGATGAAGGCGTATTGCTGTGGTAACTCATGGCTGTGTTTCAGGCTGTATGAATGTGGGCCGTGGTGCGGCTGCGACCGGGCTCGCTGTCAGAACCGGCTGGTCCAACGAGGCGTCCGGGTCCGGCTGCAGGTCTTCCAGACTCTGGACCGCGGCTGGGGCGTCCGTTGCCGTGATGACTTGGACCGCGGCACCTTCGTGTGCATCTACGCCGGCGTGGTGCTGCAGCGCGTCCCGAGTCTCGCTGAGCCGCCGCCGCCGAAGCTGACCCGGGCCGACCTGCCGTCGGATGACGAGGTGGAGGTGGTGACGGAGTGGCTGGCGCCGCCGGTGCTGGAGGGGCGGAGCAACCTGCTGGAGACACCGCCGCCCACGTCCCCGCCCACCTCCCCGCCGCTGCACGTCCCGGTGATCCAGAGACACGCCGACACCGCCGCCACGCCCCCGGACCGGGACAAGGTGAGTCTGTCGACCAATCAGGAGCCTGCAGTCGCTGCAGCAGCCAATCAGAGTGGACGGACGATAACAGTCTGATTTTATAGATTCAAACCTTTGCTGGACGTTGTTTCCTGACTTTGAGCTTTAATCCAGTAAATCTAGGATCAGACCAAACACGACTCGGCCCAGAACACCGTTTACACCATCACTGGTTCGGTTTCTTGTGATTATTTAATATTTTGTAAATCTGATGTTGTTCATGTTTTTCTGACGAAGTCTTCACCTCAACCTGTAAATAATGAACCGACTTTGTGTTTCAGACGTTTTTATTGTTTATATTCACACAGTGTTGGGTTCTGCTAGAAAAGCTTTCTGGTGGCTGATTGTCTTGTCAGGTTCAGATGGTGCTGGTGGGAGGAGCAGAGCCCACGTCGCCTTCAGCAGGTAAACAAACAGCACAAACAAACAAACAAACCAGATCTAGTCCAGTGGACGTGTGTTGGGGTTACCAACGTGGATCATCAAGTTTATTTGTCGCTTTCATTCATCTGCAGCTTAAAACTGTAAAATATGTTTGAATAAATTCATTTAAATCTGCAAACGTGACAGAAGAAATGAGAATAAAAACACGTTGAAACCAGTGAAGACGTTCGAACAAGGAACTGAAATGATTGGTTTCTGGGTGTCAGGTGACCAGGACCAGAAGGTTTCCATGGCGACGGTGCTGCAGGTCAGAACGAAGACAAACGTCCAGAAGAGCTTAAAGAGGACGATGGACGACGTCTGTCTGATCGACGCCAGCAGGGAGGGAAACGTGGGCCGCTTCATCAACGTGAGGCAACAAACAAACAAACAAACAAACAGTAACGACGCCCCCAGAGCTGTGCTCTGCAGGGATGTTGAGTCTGAATCAGGTCTGAGTTGAGTTTTCAGTGTCACTCGTACCTCTTCTCCACCAAGAAGCACCAGGTGCTGGTTCCTTGCTGGTGCTGGTTCCAGTGTTTAGTTGGTTCCAATCCAAGAACCTGGTCTCCATCAGCAAGGAGCCCAGTCAGAACCGTACGTCACCGCATACGGAGCCGTTTACCGAACAGCGCTGGCGCCTCACAGAGTCCACACAGGACTCCAGACGGACTTTGGTACCGGTGTGACCCACTTTCTCATCTGGTCGCTCGTTGTCTCAGGAGAAACATCTGACCTGCTGAACATGTTCTTATTGACAGACGCTACAGTTTACGATGTTCCCTGAACGCTCCACATAGCAGGCTGCGCTAGCTGCTGCTGGTGGCCGCGGTGCTCAGACCGGTGTGAGACCAGAGATGACTTTAAACAGATGCAGAAATCACATCAACATGTTTCTATGTTTACTCTGCTGGTCCTGCAGCTGATAGACCACTGATCAGAACATTGATCATCTATTGGTTTTTATTACAGAGAGCATCCAATCAGGAGCATTGATTCACTTTGATTTGTCGTTATTAATGTGATTTCCTGTGTTATGGGACAGAGTCAGACCTGAATGAGCTTCAGCACGACATCAGGGTTAAATATGTGAGGTTTAAGGTTTAACAGCTTTAATGTTCAGCTGTCACTGATCAATAATCAGCTGTCACTGATCAATAACCAGCTGCATTGATCAGGACCATCCATAGTGACCACATGGTGAGCAGGTCTCCAGCAGCTTCCTGTCCTGCATCATCTCCAGCAGCAGCTCTTTAAGGTCACAGTTCTTGATGTTCCTTGTTGTTCTCATGAGAACAAGCTGCTGGCTGAAGCAGGAGGAACCTGATTGGCTCCTTCACTGCAGGAGAGTCACATGATGCGTTAAACGCCTCTTTTAATGAGAGTCTGAAGAAGAAAACCCTGTTAACTAAGAACGCTGATGAACACCTGCTGATGCCTCTGACTGGGTTCAGGTTTAGTTTAGCCAACGACCAAAGAAAGTCTGGATCTGCTGAACCAGCTTCCTGCTTCAGGTCTCTGGGAGGAAACATGGCACATAATCAGCTTTAATCACCTTGAACCTGATTTGCTGAAACATGGACGTGACTTCAGACTTTTCACTTCCTGTTTTCATCAATAATCGGATTTAACTCACCTGACTGACTCTGACCTTTGGCTCCGCCCACAGCACAGCTGCCAGCCCAACCTGTTCGTGCAGAACGTCTTCACGGACTCCCATGACCCCGCCTTCCCCGTCGTGGCCTTCTTCACCAGCAGGTGAGTGGGAGGCGGAGCCAAATTCAGGTGTCCGGCGCTGCTGTTTTCACTGACGGCTGTTTGTGTTTCAGGGCGGTGGCGGCCGGCACCGAGCTCACCTGGGATTACTGTGCTGACACGCCGACGTCCTCGCCACCGCAGCAGCAGGAAGTGCATTGTCTCTGTGGCACCGACGACTGCCGGCGGCGGATCGCCGTCTGGGACAATCTGTGCGACGGTCGAATGGCGGCGGAGGCACAGATGACTCAGACCGATCGGAACAAGTGATTTTTTTTACTGAATTTTGTAATAAAACGTTAAATCAGCTCAGAGATGAGTTCTGGTACCGTGTGTTTATTCACCTTTAACTATACGGCATGTTCACAGGTGACCG